CTGGTTGGGGAGGTGGAACTTCTACTGCCCTTGGACTCCACTGTGATGTGTGACTTCCATCAAATCATCTACTATACAGAGGAGTAACTAAACTGAAACATTACAGGATACTTTTCTACTCCCTATGATGACCATGAATGATCATTAGTGGGAGTCATGTACGCAGAGTCTCTAAACATCCTCTGTATCCTGTCCGCAGTCTCTGATCATTTCCTGTGTTCTGTCCGCAGTCTCTGATCATCTCCTGTGTTCTGTCTGCAGTCTCTGACCATCTCCTATATTCTACCCACAGTCTGACCATCTCCTGTATCATGTACGCAGTCTCTGATTATCTCCTGTATTCTGTCCATAGTCTCTGACCATCTCCAGTATTCTGACCATCTCTTGTATCATGTCTGCAGTCTGTGGGGGCTTAATAAAAAAAAAGTTCTGCTATAAAAGGAAACAATAAATAAACAAGAATGTAAGCATGTAGCCATTGGATGATTAGGCAAACTGATACATTTCCTCCAAGTTTGTTATTGTTTGGATTAATGTTACATTGTAATACACAATTCTAAGTCATTCTATTTATCTGCCAAGCATGTCCTGTCTCTGCAGCTTTCTATTAAGCCTTCTAGAATTTGAAGGGTCTGTAAACCCTAACAATGAACTTTTCTTGTTTGGTACCTTTTGGTCTGTTACCTATACATTGGAAGGTGATTTATTATTTCTGTTTGATAAGTGAAAAAATACCTAATCTTGTGGATAGCAATTCCTGTGCTTTCTGCCTTTGCTGACTTAAATATATTGTTCCCAGCCATCTCTAGGACTACAGAACCGTGCCCCTCCATGCAATGGATGATAGTAGAGGGTCAGAGTCCTGTCATCCTATTCTGTTTCTGTTGTCCTGATACACTAAGGTGCATGAGCATTGTCATCTTAGGACTGGAAGTGTGTTACTGGAAGAATTACCAGGTGCAATTACATAGTTAGTCTGGCTAAAAAAAAACAAAAGTCCATCCAGTTCAACAAAAAAAAAATAAAGTTATAATCCTATAACCACAGTTGATCCAGAGGAATGCAAAAAAAAAAAAAAAACCCCCAGCAAAGTATGGTCCAATTTGCTCCTGCAGGGGAAAAATTTCCTTCCTTATCCCCCGAGAGGCAATCAGATATTCCCTGGATCAACTTTCCCTATAAATGTTAGTATCCAGTTATAATCCGTGTATCTAGGAAAGAATCCAGGACTTTTTTTTAAAGCAATCCACTGGGCTGGCCAGAGCCAACCCTTGAAGGAGTCTATTACACATTTTCACAGCTCTTACTATGAAGAAACCTTTCCGTATTTGAAGATTAGATCTTTTTTTCCCCAGACGTAAAGAGTGCCCCCTTGTCCTCTGTGATGACCTCAGGGTGAATAACTCTACACCGAGTTCACTATATGAACCACCGATGTATTTATACATGTTGATCATATCCCCCCTTATGTATTATACATGGAGATCATATCCCCCCTTATATGTATTATAAATGGTGATCATATCCCCCCTTATAAATGGAGTATTATATAATGGAGATCATATCCCCCCTTATGTATTATACATGGAGATCATATCCCCCTTTATGTATTATAAATGGAGATCATATCCCCCCTTATGTATTATACATGGAGATCATATCCCCCTTACATATTATACATGGAGATCATATCCCCCCTTACGTATTATACATGGTGTTCATATCCCCCCTTATGTATTATACATGGAGATCATATCCCCCCTTATGTATTATACATGGAGATCATATCCCCCTTATGTATTATACATGGAGATCATATCCCCCCTTATGTATTATACATGGAGATCATATCCCCCCTTATGTATTATACATGGTGATCATATCCCCCCTTATTATACATGGTGATCATACTTATGGAGATCATAATCCCCTCTTATGTATTATACATGGAGATCATATCCCCCCTTATGTATTATACATGGAGATCATATCCCCTCTTATGTATTATACATGGAGATCATATCCCCCCTTATGTATTATACATGGTGATCATATCCCCCCTTATGTATTATACATGGAGATCATATCCCCCCTTATGTATTATACATGTTGATCATATCCCCCCTTATGTATTATACATGGTGATCATATCCCCCCTTATGTATTATACATGGAGATCATATCCCCCTTATGTATTATACATGGAGATCATATCCCCCCTTATGTATTATACATGGTGATCATATCCCCCCCTTATGTATTATACATGGAGATCATATCCCCCTTATGTATTATACATGGAGATCATATCCCCCCTTATGTATTATACATGGAGATCATATCCCCCTTATGTATTATACATGGAGATCATATCCCCCCCTATGTATTATACATGGTGATCATATCCCCCCTTAATCTCCTCTTCTCAAGAAAGAATAAATTCAGTTCCTCCAATCTCTCATCATAGCTGAGCACCTCCATGCCGCTTATCAGTTTGGTTGCCCTTCTCTGTACTTTCTCCAGTTCCCCAATGTTCTTTTTGTGAATTGGTGCCCAAAACTGAACTGCATATTCCAGATGATTTGATGATTTTGATGACTAATGATTTGTGATTAAAGAAAAAAAATGCTTCCAAATACTTAATGAAGCCACCACATCTAAGGATTGTTAAGCTGCAATGTATTACATTTTATTTTGGGGTTTAGACAGTTTTTCATTAAAGGGAACCTGTCACCCACGTAGGGTTAAGCACTACTGATAAAGGACCACAGCACCATTGCTTGTCCTTTAGTAAGTTTGTAACCACTTGATCTCCAGAAGATTTTACCCCTTTTAATGACCAGGCCATTTTTTGCTATTTGGCACTGAGTTGCTTTAACTGATAATTGTGCGGTCATGCAATACTGTACCCAAATGAAATTTATATCTTTTTTCACACATATAGAGCTTTCTTTTGGTGGTATTTGAACACCATTGGGTTTTTTATTTGTTATTATATAAATTAAAAAAGACAGAACATTTTGGAAAACGTAATCAAATAATAAAAAAAAAAATCTAATTTCTTCATATATTTAGGCCAAAATGTATTCTGCTACAAATTGAGCTCCAGAAGATTTTATCCCCTTTATGACCAGGCCATTTTTCGCTATTTGGCACTGCGTGACTTTAACTGATAATTGTGCAGTCATGCAACACTGTACCCAAATTAAATTTATAGAATTCTTTTCATACAAATAAAGATTTCTTTGTTGGTGTTTGATCGACACTGGGTTTTTTATTTTTTATTAGATATATAAAAAAACAAAACAAAAAAAAAAAAAACATATTTTTTAGCTGCAAACTATGAAATATATATATATATATGCATACATATACAGTATCTCCCAGAAGTTATTACACTCTTCACATTTTTGTAAATATTTTATTATATCTTTTTCATGTGACAACACTGAACAAATTAAACTTTGCTACAATGTAAGGTAGTCAGTGTACAGCTTGTATAACAGTGTAAATATGCTGTCCCCTCAAAATAACTCAACACACAGCCATTAATGTCTAAACTGCTGAAAACAAAAGTGAGTACACCCCTAAGTGAAAATGTCCAAATTGGGCCCAAAGTGTCAATATTTTGTATGGCCACCATTATTTTCCAGCACTGCCTTAATCCTCTTGGGCATGGAGTTCACCAGAGCTTCACAGGTTGCCACTGGAGTCCTCTTCCACTCCTCCATGATGACATCACGGAGCTGGTGGATGTTAGAGACCTTGTACTCCTCCACCTTCTGTATGAGGATGCCCCACAGATGCTGAATAGGGTTTAGGTCTGGAGACATGCTTGGCCAGTCCATCACCTTTACTCTCAGCTTCTTTAGCAAGGCAGTGGTCATCTTGGAGGTGTGTTTGGGGTCGTTATCATGTTGGAATACTGCCCTGCGGCCCAGTCTCCGAAGGGAGGGGATCATGCTCTGCTTCAGTATGTCACAGTACATGTTGACATTCATGGTTCCCTCAATGAACTGTAGCTCCCCAGTGCTGGCAGCACTCATGCAGCCCCACACCATGACACTCCCACCACCATGCTTGACTGTAGGCAAGACATGTGTTATCACATGAAAAGATATAATAAAATATCTACAAAAATGGGAGGGGTGTGCTCACTTTTTGTACATACACACTGGTATTTGTATTTATTTATTTAATTTATGCTAGTAATGGCGGCAATCAGCACCTTATAGCAGAACTGTAATAGTATGGTGGTCAATCTGACACTTTGTGGGAACCAGTGGCACTAATACAGTAATCAGTGCTAATAATATACACTGTACTAATGACACTGGCTGGGAAGGGGTTAACATCTAGGGGCAATCAAAAGGATAAGTGTATACCTAACAGTGCTTGGTGTGTGTACAGTGTTATGATTTTACTAAGGATGTGCCAGTTTTGCAGGAAAATAAAAATTGTGCATCCCACTGTCAGGACAGATCTCTGTGTTTACACACACAGAGCTCTGTCCTGTCGGCCTCTTCGCCGATCACCGGGTCCCAGCTGTCAATCATTGACGGGGACCCGCTGATCGTCTTGTGCTGTGTCTAATCACAGCAGGGGCTGCATGCATGTACATGTGCGCCCCCTACCCAGAAGAGCTAAATCATGTACTGGGTACTTGATCAGGCTCAGGGAGCCCACTTTGGTGATGTACATCGAAGTGATGTGGTAGGCAAACGGGTAAAGTAGATGTTGGCTGAGATAACACAAATGTTTCCAAGATCACCTTGTGAGGGTGCAATGTGTCCTTCAAGAAGCATGCTGCAGTTAATGACATTGAAGACCAGGAGTTGTAGATGGGGTTTGCTTTTCAAGAGTCTATGAGATCTCCTAGCCAGTATCTCTACATATACACTATATTGCCAAAAGTATTGGGCCAGCCCTCCTAATCATTGGATTCAAGTGTTCCAATCATCTCCATGGCCACAGGTGTATAAAATTAACACCTAGGCATTTTCTACAAACATTTGTGAAAGAATGGGTCGCTTTCAGGAGCTCATTGAATTCAAGTTTGGTAACGTGATAGGTTGCCACCTGTGCAAGTCTATCTGTGACATTTCCCGGCTGCTAAATATTCCACGGTCAACTGTTAGTGGTTTTATGACAAAGTGGAAGCAACTGGGAACAACAGCAACTGAGCCACCAAGTGGTAGGCCTTGTAAAATGACAGAGCGGGGTCAGCACATGCTGAAGCGCACAGTGCGCAGAAGTCGCCAACTGTCTGCAGAGTCAATAGCTAAAGACCTCCAAACTTCATTTGGACTTCAGATTAGCACAACAACAGTGTGTAGAAAGCTTCATGGAATGGGTTTCCATGGCCGAGCAACTGCTTCCAAGCCAAGATTATGGGGCTGTTTTTCAGGGGTTGGCTTGGCTCCTTAGTTCCAGTGAAGGTATGAGGGTTTTGTAAATTTTGGAAGGAAGTAGTTACAGATTGTTGGATTTAACAATTTGATTGTTGGTAGGGCCCATTTGATATGTCCTTCCCTTCTAGGCTTCTATATGTCTTCCCCCTACTACCCTCATAGCCTATACTACATCAAGACATTAAGCCCACAAAGGCACATCTAGATGGCATGCAGAAAGGCTGAGAGAGAGTTTGCACACCTTGCTTCAGTTGACCTAGAAACAACTAGTAGGGCTATTTGATACCTTGCTTTCTTAGCTATTTGGTTCCAGGTGTCTGAATCCAGCAACGTGACGTAAAGGAAGCAACGTATCTCCATTGGCAGCCATGGTGCCCTTGGCCATAAGATATGTTGACTTTGCTACAACCTGGCCTTGATTGTTGGATGAAATTGAGTTGTCTGCTGTGCATGCACACATTATATAGTGTTGGATGAGGGAAAGGTGTGGAATTTAATAAGGATGGAGGCACTTGACACATAGACTATTATTGGGAATATTGGTAGCAGGTGGTTATGGCTATAAAGCTTTTGGATTTGAGGCTGTAGGCTACAAAAGGAGTTAAGTTGGCCATACATTGTACAATTTTCTTGAGAATTTTGCTATAGATTTACCAAAAAAACCTATAATATAAAGTCAAACCTAAACAACACTTTCAGTTGTATGCAACTAGGCGTGCTCATGCACTACATAGTTGAAGGTAAATCTAAAGGAAATTGGACAGAAAATTGACAGAAAATTATATAGCGTATGGCCAGCCTTAGGGAAGAATATGGGACACAAGCTTGTTGGATGGAGCCTGGGGAAACTATGGATTTATGAACAGTGATGGATGAGATGGGTGTGTGAGGGCATAAAGGGGAATGTTGGTAGGAGATGGTTAGGGGAGATATAGTTTTGGGTTTGTTGGTGGGCTGTAGGAAAGGGTATAGAGGAACTGAGGTACTAATTGTGTTGGTTGGGGCGAAGGGAAGCTCTGGAGCTGTGAAAGTGTTGGATGAGGGATAGGTGTTGGAGAGTAATGGGCATTTGGGCCTTTACAGTCAATGGCTTATTGCTAATGGCCTATTGCTGGTAATTACAGAAATACAGTATATGGTGTTAGTTACTGAAGAAAGGTTATGAGGAGACAGAAGGGTCCCTGGATAATTTTTCTTTTCAGTATCAATAGATTCACCACTAACTGTGGATTTTAGGTTTTATATGTTCAACCCAATGGGTGAGAAATGTTTATTGGAAAACAGATGATTCGTTCTACGAACTCACTGTATAGTAATGAAAACTAGGCTGGAGTTCCATGTAGCATCTGGTGATAACAGGGATGCTTGGAAATGTTATTTATCTAGTTAAAGGGGTCACTCACGCTGACTCCAATGACCTGACTTCCCAATGTCCTGTGTCTTTAATTCATGTTGTATGCTGTCATCTATACAGAAGACCCCCAGAGAGCAGCAATAGAAAGTTACAACCTTCCTGGTGGTACTCCAGGTGCTTACACTTGGTCTGCGTTGGCCACACTTTGCCCAAAGCACACCCACTGTGTACAGATATATTGTATATATCTTTGTGGGAGATTCTGTACAATATTTTCATTATATATATGGATTTGGTAGTGTATATATATCTGAATTACAGCTAGGTATAGCTTTGTGTGTACAACACAACAAACTTATAAATGTAAATATACTGTTTGTGTGTATGTTTTATCAATATCTATCTATCTATCTATCTATCTATCTATCTATCTATCTATCTGTCATTCATCGATCAATCCATCTTTTAATGCATCTGTCTATATATCTGTTTGCTGTCTGTCAATCAGTGTCTGTCTGTTCCTCTATCCATCCTTTCATCCATTCATTTATCCCTTTTTCTATTTTATAGAAAATCCAAGACTCCCAAATCTTGTTCTCTGTCTATCCATCCATCAATATATATCTCTTTCTTTCTATCTATATATCTATTGGTCTGTCCATTTGTCCTTACTCCCATCTGTCTATCTATCTGTTATCCATCCATCTTTTTATATATCTCTTTATCTGTTTGCCTGTCATATAGTCCATCTGTCCATATTGTATCTATATATCTATATTTCTATCAATCTATGTAACTGATCTATCAATCAGTCAATGTATTGGTCTCTCCATCCATCCATCTATTTATCTGTTATCCATCCATGCATCTTTTTATCAATCTGTCTATCAGGGGTGGACTGACAACTCATGGGCCCCCCGTGCAATAGGGGATGGGGCCCTTGTGTCCTTGCCCAAGCTCAAAAAAGCCTATGAAAAAGGTACCAAGGGCATCTCATGGGGCCCCCTACTGACCCCGGGCCCTCGGGCAGTGCCCAATTGGTCAGTCTGCCTCTGCTGTCTATCTATCTGCTAGTCATCCATCCATGCATCTTTTTATCTATCTATCTATCTATCTATCTATCTATCTATCTATCTATCTATCTATCTATCTATCTTCATATACACACTTACTTGATGCAAGAAAAAATACAGAAATTAGTTTCTGATAGTCTGCTGTACACAAGAAACCAATTCATGTATTCATTGGCCGACGGGACCGTAGGTGTTACATTGCCTAATACTATTTATTACACCTACAAGGTTCAATACACAAAGCCTAAACACCCAAGCACTCAGAAAACAAGGATAGATATTTGCAGCTGAGTCCAATGAGATTTGATAATTGCAATCAAATGGCTAAAATAAAGATCTTTATCATCGTGTCAAAGCTCTGTGAATTGTTGAGTTGATTATTACATATGGCAGCGTTATACTATGGCTTGTAGAACCCCAATCGCTGCGGAAGTAGCAGTGGAACTAAAAGCCCCAGCAAGTCTGTTAGGTACAAACAGGCCAGGAATAGCTGGAAATCCACCCCCCTCTCCTTGCTGTCACAAGTAAAAATCATCCACTTGACCTTGTGCTTTTATTTTCCCTTGTGTGCGATGGCTGCAGACGTGACACACACAGGAACAAATGAGCTCAAATCGAGCAGTGAAAGAAATAATTAAACAGGATCTTTGTACTCTCGTGGTCATGGTGTGGAAAAATCACACACAGCCTGGACCGCTAATAGACCAGAAGTGGCTAGGCTTTGAAAGGAGCCCTGTACTGAGGCTGATATAGAGGCTAGTCATTTGGCTCATTCTGAAAATGCTTACTGCCTGGCTGTCTCTGGCTTCTTTGCTTTCAGATGCAATTCAGGAATGTCAGTCCAAACTCCGAACTTGCATACTTGTTACAGGGCACTGACTCATAGTACTGAAACCACTGAATCAGTATGATAGCCAGGGAACTGGCATTTTTTAGAAGGGGAGGTCAGCAATGGCAGCCTTCATAGTTAAATTTGTACTAAAGCCTCAAATTTTGTTTGCGTATTTAGACCTATATATGTCAGTTAAGCCTCAGAGAGTAACTGATTAATTGAAGAAAAGTGTAGGAACACAATTTGCTCCGATTACAAATACATATTCAGTGCCCTAATTCACATGTTCAGGACTACATGTTCCATGATGCCAAGCGCCATTGCTCATGTGCATCCTGTCCAGTCCGCTCTGGTTGCCTATGCTTGTTGGGAGTGTGCACAAAAGGATGGCTCTAGAAGATACCACAAGGGAATGGAGTCACCAGAGAGGAGGGAACCAAGCAGAAATGAGAGCATTTGGGCTCTTTTACATGGGCGTTCCATTTTTTCATCAGTTCAGTCACGTTTTTGGGCTCTTTCACACAGACATTCCAATTGGGTCCGCCTGCCTGCTTTTCAGGCAGACCCGATCAGAACCTTCATTCTCCTCTACTGAGTGGCAGGTATAAATGAATATGAGTCTGTTTACACCCGCTGACATCCGATCCACCAAAAAGGGATGGATGGGGATCAAATTCACCTTCTGTCCATTGGATCGGGTCGGATGAAAGCAGACAGGCTGAGGAGAGCGAGCAACTCTGTGTCAGCTCTGCAGCAGTGGAGCAGACACAGAGCTGTCATCCACTTACTCAGAGGGGATCAGCAGAGAGATCCCCTGCTGAGCAAGGGATCCGCTAAATGGGTCCATCCCTTTTTGAAGAAAAAATGAATAGTTCACATCAGTTTTTCATCAGTTAACATCAGTTTACATCCATTTCATAAGTTTACATCTGTTTTTCATCAGTTTACATCCATTTGTCATCCATGTTTCATAAGTTTACATCCACTTTTTTTTTATTTCAGAAAGAAAGAGCCCTAAAAGAAGGAAAAAGCAGCAGATCAGGTTTGTGCCCAGGTCAGCTGCTATAATGGCCATTAAAAATGTAGGCTTTAATATCACTTTAAAGCATAAGTAAACCCTAACAATGAACTTCTATTGTTTGCTCCTATTTGGTGTGCTAAATATACCATTGAAAGCTTTTTTATATTGGGTTTATAGGGGAAAAATCCATAAATTCTGCCAGAAATCTTATAAGCTGATACATTCCTGTACTCTCTGCACAAGGAGGGGTTATAGAGATAAAGAGGGGTCATGGAGATGAGAAAGGGTCATAGAGTAAGGAGGGGTTGTGGAGTAAAGAGAAGGTTTTGTGGAGTAAAGAGGAGGGGCTGTGGAGTAAAGAGGAGGAATCATGGAGTAAGGAGGGGTTGTGGAGTAAAGAGGAGGGGTTATGGAGTAAGAAGGAGGGGTTATGTAGATGAAGAGGGGTTATGGAGTAAGAAGGCATGGGTATGACACAACGAGGTGTTATGGATTACGAGGTGGTAGGGAATTAAGCAGGGGTTATGGAGTGAGGAGGAGTTATGAAGATTAGGAAGGGTTATGGAGTAAGGAGGAGTGGTTATGAAGTAAGGAGGAGGGGTTATGGAGTAAGGAGGAGTTCTAGAGATAAGGGTTATGGAGTAAAGAGGAGAAGCTATGGAGATAAGTAGGA